ATGCTTTGAGGGAGATGTGATGATTATTCTTATTTTACAGATGCAGAAACAGAGGTCTAGAAAAGTTAAGCCACTGATCTAGCCACCGGGGATGCTTGATGCCTAAGACATGCGCCCTACCCTCTAAGACCCTATTAGACAAAAGGAGTGTGATCCCATGTCCTGGTGGCTGCAAAGCCTGTGCCATTAACCATGAGAGCAGTGGTTTTTCAACTGAGGACGATTTAGTCCCCTGGGTGATATCTGGCAATGTCGGGAGACATTTTCGGTTGTCACATCTAAGTGGGTGCCTTTCCCTCACAAGCTCTGCAGGAAGACAGGAAAAGACAAAACTTAGAAGAAAAAGTCTGAAAATAGAGTACCAAGTCCCCACAGTGGTAACCATCAATTGCACAGGGAGAATAACTAGAATTGCTCAGAAAAAAGAGCCAAAAGGGGCGGCTGGGTGGCTCGGTGGGTGAAGTGTCCGGCTTTGGCTCAGGTCGTGATCGCAGGGTCCTGGGATCAGCCCCACATCAGGCTCCGTCCTCAGCAGGGAGTCTGCTTCTCCATCTCCCTCTGCCCCTCTCTCCACTCATGCTCGCTCTCGCTCTCTCTCAAATAAGTACAATCTTTTTTAAAAAGGGAGGAGGGCAGAACACACAAAGGAGAGCAGTCCTGTCAGGCTCAGGAGCAGAGTATTTGGGGACATTTCACTGAAGGATAGATGGCCAGCACTGGCCCATGCTCTGACACAGACCACCTTTTTACAAGCATTTCCTGGGAAGCAACCATCCAGCACTTTATGCTCCAACAGATACAGCAGGAGGGGAGACAACATTGTGTTAGGAAGGGGTTCTGCAGTCAGCTTTTGGAGTTTAAATCCTGGCTCCTTCCCTTTGCAGTTGTGAGAATTTGAACAAATTACTAAACCTCCCTAAGCCTCAGTATCCCCACCTCTGAAATGGGGATGGCGAATTTAAAACAGTACCGATCTCACAGGGTTGCATGAAGATCCTATCAGTTACTGTTTTCAGCCTAGGTCTTGGCCCCATAAGTTCTCAATATTTGTTGCCTGACAATGGTAACAAACCAAAGGGACAAAGGTCACCAGTTACTGCTATCTGCCATCTTGCCCTTCATCGTCCCCCACTCCTCCATGAAGGACAGAATCCATCGATTCTGATAACACTTTTTTCCTCTCTGAGACCCTTCTTGAGCTCTGTTTCTCTAATTCTCATAACACTTTGCCTGGACTCTTTCATTTAACCTGACAAACACTTATAGTACTCACTGTCTACCTGTTTACCGTGGTAAGCGCTTTAAAATTTAACTCACTTATTCCTCCCAACAACTTTTGGGGGAGGTATTAACATCACTCCCATTTTTCAGATGGAAGAATAGGCAAGGGGTAACTTCCCCCAAAGAATTAAGAGCTAAATGGCAGAGCTGGTGTTTGAACCCCAGCTGTCCGCTCTCAACCATTATGCCCCTCTTAACGCTCCTTAAAATGTTGGATCTTGGATTTTTGGTTTTCTACAATCTTTACTCTATGTTCCCTGGATACACGTGGACTTCCTTGGGAGCAGGGCCTGTATGATCCCCCCAGTAGATGCTTATTAACTGATTAAAATCACATTGCTAATTGATGCAAATTCATCCAACACAGAAGGAACCGAAATAGGAAAGAAAATGCGTTATTCCCAAGGCTAAAATGAGCTTGGGGCAGGGAGGATGCAGAAACCACACGCTGAGCCGAATGGCAGCCCGAGGAGAATCAACGAATGGAAGACAGAAAGTAGTGTCACCTTTAAGCCTAAACAGGCCCCACCCAAAGAGACAGGACTTACTAAAGCTTCTAAACTTTAAAACTGAAACCAAGATGAACAAGTCAAATCCTGAGGGAACATCAGTCTGTTCTGCTGTTTGGTTTGCACTGTGATTTACATCATAATGAACTTTAATTATGAATCAAAATGTCTATGCATGGAAACCAAACTACAGGTGCATAAAATAGGAGAGAGAGGAGCCCTCCAAAACGCTAGCGAAAAGGACAGGTGGCCAGTAAAGGGCTATGGGTGTAAGGAACATGGAAAGAGAAAGCTCCCCCTCTCCTTTTCCCTGCCTCTGCCCCCTCACCTTTACCAGCTTGCATACCGGCTGGTCAGGTGTGAGGCTGTTCTGGTTTCTAGACCCACCTCCGCTTCCCACGAGCTAGGTGACTTTGGGAAGGTCTCTCCGTCTCTAGAAGTGTTTTCTTGTCTACAAAATCACTGGGCTAGACCATAGCATCTTTTTGTTTCTATTGTTAGTCCCTACTTTTTTTTTTTTTTAAGTTTTTATTTATTTATTTGACAGAGAGCGAGATCACAAGTAGGCAGAGAGGCAGGCAGAGAGAGGGGGAAGCAGGCTCCCCGCTGAGCAGAGAGCCCGATGTGGGGCTCGATCCCAGGACCCTGGGATCCTGGCCTGAGCCGAAGGCAGAGGCTTCAACCCACTGACCCACCCAGGTGCCCCCTTACTCCTGTTTTTTAAATTGAGGTAACATTCACAAATCATAAAATTAACCATTTTAAAATGCACCATCCAGTGATATTAAGAACATTCACGATGTTGGGCAATCACCACTTCTATGTAGTTGCAAATCATTTTTGTCGCCCCCAAAAGAAAGCCCTGTACCCATTAAGCGGTCAGTCCCCCTGCCTCCTCCTCACAGCACTTGGCAATCACCAATTTGCTTTCTGTTTCTATGGCTTTAACTATTCTACATATTTCGTAGGAAAGGAATCATAAAACATTTGGTCTTTTAGATCTGGCTTCTTTTATTCAGCATAATGTATTTTTTAGTTCATCCATATTACAGTATGTTGCTTTATGGCTTTTTTTGGCTTTTTATGGCTATTCCTTTTTATGGCTAAATAATACTCCTTTTCTGACTACACTATGATTTTGAGCTCCAACATTATGATTGCCTTTCCTTTTCAAACATCTGTTCACAAACACATTATGAGCATGAGTTAGACACAAGGCAGGTACTAAGGGGGAATGATTGAGAAATGTGTAGCTCCTTGCTATATATATACTTTTAATTGGACTATGACATTTAAAAGTGTCCAAATCATAAGTGTACAGCTTCATGAATGCTCACAAAGTAAATACTTTCCAAAGTAAATAACTTTAATCAGGGTCAACAGATAAAATATTACTTGCACCCGGTTCTTGTCTTCTCGTTACCCTCTCCCAATTCTTGTTTTCTCAAGGTCACCCGCATTTTGACTTCAAACACTATACATTAGTTTTTCCTGGTTTTGAACTTCATATAAATGGAACCATACAGTGTCTACTTTTTCATGTCTGGCTTCTTTCACCCAATACCATGTGAAACTCACTCACCTTGTTTCCTGTCACTGCCATGCATTCATTCTCGTTGTTGTACAGTGTTCATAATATCCTAATTTATTCAGCCATTCTATGATAGATGGGCTTTGTGTAGTTTTATCTCTGTGCTATTATAATAGTGTTGCTATGAACATTCTAGCCTATGTCTTTTGATATACTGATGTACACACATCTCTGGGGCATATGCTTAGGATTGAAGTTATTTGAGTCATATATTCAGTTTTAATAAATGCTGACATGAATTTTCCAAAATGGTCAGACCGTTTTAGATTCCCGTCTCTTGCTTCTCAGGTGGTCCTTTCCGAAGCATGGGGTTGGTGCCCACTGCTGTACTAGTGGTGCATGAAAGGATTGATGTGAGGAGCAAAATAAATAACAAGTCCCAAAGTGAGAAAATTATTACCCTTTCAATGCTCTTTAAGTCCTTCTGATTACATAAAGAGAACCCCATGTGATACCAGGATGCTGCTAGCCACCTCTCTGTCTCCCTTTTTACAAAGTCTCAGATTTCCAGCAACTGTATCTAGTTGATATTTAGTAACACTTTGTTTTAATGTATTTTAAGATTTTATTTATTTATTTATTTATCAGAGAGAGAGAGAGAGAGAGAGAGCGCATAAACATAAGCAGGGAGAGCAGCAGGTGGAAGGAGAAGCAGCTCTCTGCTGAGAAAGGAGCCCTAGGCAGGACTCATCCCAGGACATCAAGATCTGAGCAGAAGGAGGACAATTAACAGACTGGGTGTCCCTAATGTATTTAATTACTTTCTAGTCATAGCAAGTTACAAGGTTTTTCCATTTAAGTTACTTAACATTTTCTTTCAAATAAATTCATTTATGGTTTTCAAAAGTGAGTCAACTAAAAAGAAACCAGCAACTAAACTAGTCAACTAAAAGAAAATAGCAAATAATATATGCAGACTCAAGAAACTGTATCAGTAGTGGAATGACTGGGGTCTGGAAAATACCTACTTAGAGTCTGCATTTACCGTAAGGCCACTGTGTGATTTCTATCTGTGTTTGATGAGCTTACTTCAAAACCACGCTCAGCACTGAGCACTTGGCTTTACTAATCTACAGAAAACGGAATTTAAATTTGTCCCAAGTCTCCCAATTTGGGGAAGAGAAGCCAGAATGCAAGAACACACCATCCCAAAGATTTTCAGAACACCAAAAACTTGACATGTCTGACCCACTTGGCTTATTAACAGACAAAAATGGCATTACAATTAATTCCATTTCCTGCAGAATCCAGAAGGCTCTATCTGAGGCCTAAACAGAAAAACCTTTTGCAGATCAGGTAGAAACCGTCATCCACACACGTTAACCATAAACATCAGAAACTCCCCACCTGGATTAGCCCTTTTTAGGTTGGGGCGACAGTTAGAAACAAAGTGTTGTTTTCTTAAGCATTTCGTTACTTAGAAGCCGCAGCAGGACTTTTCTCCTAAGAAATGGGGACGGGGCATCCAACAAATAAATTGCCTGGACAAAGGTCCTGGCAAAAAACTTGGGGAAAACATTTTCCCGCCCCCTCTCCAGCCCAGGCCCCGCCCCGCCCCCGAGGCCCCGCCCCATGCCCGCCCCCGTGCGCCCCGCCTCCTCCTCTTCCCATCCAGTCCCGCGAATCTCGCGCGCACTGAAGATGGCGGCCGCATTGGGAAGATTTCTCCGGGCTTCGGTGAGTGGCTGCCGGCAGGGGACAGGAGCGGAGACACAGTAGTGGCTCCGACACGTGCTTTCCAGACAGAATCTTGCTCCCTGCGGTCTGGGGGCCTTTCACCGTTCTTAGAGGGCACCAGCGGGTAACGGACCCAGGGGCCTCGCTTCTGGGGAATGCGCCTGCGCAGAACCGCCCCTCCCGTCTGCCCTTCTGATCGTTCCTCTCTTCAGGCTGGGGTCGCAGCCCTCCCTCCACCGGGACACCTCGACCTGGAGGCAGGGCCCCTGACCCCTGTTCCCTGTTCTGTAGCTACTCTATGACCTTGGACACGTGACTTCACCTTTCCGAGCCTCAGTTTACTGTCCTCTCCCAAAGCTAGAAAGAGGATGCCTGCAGCAAGGCTTTGCAATAAGCATCCCCTCCATGGTGGGTGGACACCAAAGTGGTAAAGTACACAGTGCGGCAGTGCAGAAGGCACTCCCCTCCTCCCATCCCCCAGGTCTGTCCCTCGCTCTCCTCCCGACGAAGCCGAGCACTCTCTTGGTCCCCTCTCTCTCCCCTTTCTCCTGGCGGGGTTGAACACAAGGCTCTTTCTTCTTCCTGAGTCATGCTGGACGCTATAGTTGAGCAAACAGTACCGTTGAGCGCTGTACGGATTTTCCCAGAGGGTGAACTTTGCTCTACTTGTTTGCTTGTCTGCGGGGGCCTTGTGTTTTCTGGGAAAACCTTGACATGATAGAGCAGGCTTAGCAGATCAAGCTGGCAAAGGGCGTAAATACCAGGGCCCGGCCAAGTCCCCTTGGTTTTTGAACCCTCTGTGTTGTTCTTAAGAACATGGAGTCTTCATGGTCTTATAATTCCCCTCTGCCTAGCAGGGTTTTAAAAAATGTATATATTTTTAAAATAAAAGTTATATACGTTTAAGCAGTGCAATGTGATTTGGTATAGACATAATGAAATGATTACTACACACTAACATCTTTTCACATAATTACCTTTTCTGTGTGTGACGAGTGTGCCTGAAGTCTACTCTCTTAGCAAATACAGCATTATTAAGTATAGCATCATGCCCCTGCAGTAGACCTCCAGGCTTACTCATGCAGCATGACTGCAGCTTTGTACGCTTTGACCAACATCTCCCCCCTCCCCTCTTGTAGTCTTGAAGAAGGAAGCAGAAAGGAAGGGTAAGAACATGGAGGTTCATTCTGTACTCTTAGAGCCTGGGGGTTGGTGTTTGGTTCGCAGGAGCGGAGGCGACCAGTGGCCTAATGCCCCTTCCCCAGGGCCAGCCTTGAAGCTACTTCCTAATATAAAGTGTTTCTCTTTCCAGATTGCCCGACATGTGAGTGCTGTTCCTTGGGGCATCTCTGCCTCTGCAGCCCTCAGACCTGCTGCTTCCCGAAGAACATGCCTGACAAATGTATTGTGGTCTGGTTCTGGTCAAGCAAAATTCGCTTTTAGCACCAGTAAGTGTTGTGCCTTGGTTTGACCCAGGTAATATGAACCACCATCTCAGAACACGGGCCCTGAACCCTGGCTATCCATTAGACTCAATACCCATTAGCTTTTGAAAATAAACCACTACCCCAGCTGCCCCCCCCACCCCGCCCCAGACAAATTAAGTCAATTTCTGAAGTGAGACCAGGACATCGTTTTGTTTTGTTCTTTAATCTAAATATAGTTGACATCGCAATTATTAGTTTTAGATGGACAACAAAGTGATTCAAGATTTATATACGTTAGGTGGTGACCCCCATGATAAACCTAGGTACCATCTGTCACCATACAAAGTTGTTACGGTTTTATTAACCGTATTCACTGTGCTATACTTTGCACTCCCCTGTCTGTCTGTAACTGGAAGTTCATAACCTTTTAATCCCCTTATCTTTATTTTAAACTTTATTTTAAACTTTATTTTAAAAGTTCACCGAATGATTCTAACATCCAGTCAGGATTGAAAATGACTGAGGCAGACTGTCCCCATATCGCATTTCTTTGTTAGTCACCAACACCTGTACATCTTCCAACTCTTACCTGAAAATCTCCAGTGACTCCTCTATCCCTTCTTTTAAGAACAAATTCTGTGGGGCGCCTGGGTAGCTCAGCTGATTAAGCGGTTAAGGGTTTGCCTCCGCTCAGGTCACGATTCCAGGGTCCTGGGATCAAGATCGAGCCCCAAGGCGCCACCAGCCCTGCTCAGTGGGGAGTCTGCTTCTTCCTCTGCCCCTCCCCCCACTTGTGTTTTCTCTCTCTCTCTCTCTCTCACCTAAATCTTTAATAACAATAACAAACTCTAGCCTGATACTTAAGGGCCCTCGGAGTCTGGCTTTCAGCTGTTCATGCTTTGTCTCTTATGCTTCCTTCCACACACACCTGCTCTCTGTTCTGTTCAAACTACCCCGGGCTGTTCCCCTCACCTGCCCTGTTCCCTCTTCCCTGTCCTACCTGAACATGGCAAAATCCGAGCCGTATTCAGAATCCATCCCTAGGCTCCTTTCCTCCTCGATTCTATCTTAATTTCATCCCTGCCATCTTCTGGCATCATCTTTTTAGTCTTTTCAGTCCCCATAGTACTTTAAACTGGATTTGTGTACCATCTAGAACTATGGAAGGGGGGGAATATTACCTAAGATACAGAGTTGAACGGAACCTTTTAGTTAATTTATACTGCTAATTAATTACTGTGAGATTTGAATAAAGTCAGGTGTGTGATTTAGCAGATGACGAACTACATGTGTGTCTGGCTTCCTTCAGGTTCCTCATACCACGCTCCTGCCGTCACCCAGCACGCGCCCTATTTTAAGGGCACCGCCGTTGTCAATGGAGAGTTCAAAGACCTAACCCTTGATGATTTTAAGGGGAAATATTTGGTGCTTTTCTTCTATCCTTTGGACTTGTAAGTGTAATTTCTGCGATGCTTTAATGTCATTTAAGGTCCCTGTTTCCGCCCTGACATTTCCTATCTCTGGCTGCCCTTCTGGCCAAGGGAAGGGTTCTTTTGGATCCTTTTATCACTGGTGGCCTTGCTGAGTACAGCCTGCATCTGTAGCTAATCTGATAAATTTAGAGGAGGGGGTGGCATTCTTTTTAGTGGGGTAGGTTTTGACACGGCTTCCTTTTATGTGCTCTGGAGCCATGGTTTCCATCAGCCAGTCCATAAGGAAGTTTTCACTGGCCTGCAGGAAAACAAGAAAAGTAAAGATAATAAAATGACTTTTCTCATAAAGCTGCTGCTTTATTCTCAGAATATGCCTCTTTTCCCTTGCCCACCCTCTTTTTTTTTTTTTTTTTTAATTTATTTATTTGAGAGAGAGGCAGTGAGAGAGAGCATGAGCGAGAAGAAGGTCAGAGGGAGAAGCAGACTCCCCGTGGAGCTGGGAGCCCAATGCGGGACTCGATGACCCGGGATCATGACCTGAGCTGAAAGCAGTCGTCCAACCAACTGAGCCACCCAGGCGTCCCTCATTTTTTGATATGATTCTTAAATGGAAAGGTAAGGAGGTCCCTGGGTGGCTCAGTCAGTTAAGCATCTGCCTTTGGCTCAGGTCACAATTCCAGGGTCCTGGAATCAAACCCTGCATCATGCTCGCTGCTCAGCGGGGAGCCTGCTTCTCTCATTGTTCCTCCCCATGCTCCTGCTTTCTCTCTCTCTCTATCAAATAGATAAGATTTTAAATAAAAAATTTTTTAAAAATGGAGAGGTGAGTCTGGTAAGGGTAGCTAACCGTTTTTGCCTTTTTCACCTGCAAGCAAGCTGAACTAGTTTTTAAGCTATCTGTTGTTTAAATTTTAAATCCTTGCTTTTAAATTGTCTGATGGGAATTTCTGCCCTTTTTTTTCTAGCACCTTTGTGTGTCCTACAGAAATTGTTGCTTTTAGTGACAAAGCCAATGAATTTCACGACGTGAACTGTGAAGTTGTTGCAGTTTCAGTGGATTCCCACTTTACCCATCTCGCCTGGGTCAACACACCAAGGAAGGTATAAACCTTAGTGGCCCTGCCTTTGCACCGAGGATCCTAAAAACTGAAAAGATCCCATAAAAGACTCATCTAGAAGTTGTTAAAGCATGACTAGTCTGAAATGGGCTATTTGTAGCTCCTAAGCTCCTGGCAGATTCTGTCAAACTCTGTCCTTATCTCCCTTAAAATTGCCTGGATTTAGTGCCCACTACACTTGTGTTTTCCAGGTGCAAACAGTAACGGAGAACAGGCTCAGCAGGGTGGGGGTGGGGACAATTGGGGCTCGCTGCCTCCTCTCTCGTGGGTACCTTGTAGATCCCACATGCTCTGCTTGGCTTGTGGGACGCTGGTTAGGTTCTCTGAGTTCACTCCTCTGCATAACCACTATTCCTGCCGAAAAACACTTGGGAGAATCAAACTTTCTAGCCATGTTGCTGGTTTATCAATGCCAACTTATTCAGTCTTTGTTATGCTTCCATTTTTATGCTACAGAAGTTAATCTTCAAGTAAAAGAATACATCAAGAATTAGGAAAAGAAAGGTCTCCTCCAGTGTTAGCTGGGTTTAAATCCTGCCTCTGTCCCTTGCTAGCTGTGACCTGGAACAAGTTACTTGACTCTTATGTGCCTCAGTTTCCATGTGTGTCAAAGAGGCGATGTTCCAGGATGGTTGGGAGGAGGAAGGGATTTAACAGAGCTAAGAGCAGTGCTCAGTCCACTGTTGGTTCTCAGTTGCTGCCACCTGTCGCCATTCTTGTTGGCCTCAGACATCAGTTTATGTGGCTGAGAACAGGGGGAGCACACGGTGTAACAGCCAGTCATGTTCGCATCTTTGTTAGAATGGCGGCTTGGGCCACATGAACATCGCACTCTTGTCAGATCTGAATAAACAGATTTCCCGAGACTATGGCGTGCTGTTGGAAGGCCCCGGAATTGCTCTGAGGTAAGATCTTGTTTCTTATAAACTTAAACTTGTTTTTTTATGTTCAGCATCATCCCACTTCTTAGAGGATTTCAAGAGCCCTCAGTAGAGCGTTTTGAAAACCAAAAAGCTTTTATTTACTTTAGCCTTTTGTAAGCACTGATGAGAACCTCCTGCACATGTTGGCAGTCTCTGGATGGCTGAGACGTGTCTGACCCCTGTAGTGCCCTGTGTCTCCTTCCGAACACCAGTGTGTCTTAACAGTTGCACTGTCGCGCTTGCCCTCACTGCCTGGGAGCTGCTCTCCTGGGAGGCCCGCTCCTGACACGTCCCGAGAAGGGGAAACTAGCAGATTGTAGGAGTCAGTGAGCTGGAATGGGTGAGATCTTGTCCCAGCCCTGGAATCAGACCAGAGTTTGATTTGTTTTTTTTTTTTTTAAACTCACCTATTTAACAGCTGTATGACTTTGGGCAAGTTACTGAACCTCTTTGAGTCCCAGTTTCCCATAACTAAAATGAGAATGGACCTCCCAGGTTGGTTGTGGGGACTAAGTAAGTTAAGGCAGCTGAAGATTTTAGCACAGCTCCTGGTAGCCATTATGAACTCTGTCCCAGAATGTCATTTCTGTCCTCATTCATTCAGTGGCTAGATCTTTATTCCTTTGAATGGGAAAGTTGTCTTTTTTTTTTTTTTTTTAAGATTTTATTTATTTGACAGACAGAGATGACAAGTAGGCAGAGAGCCAGGCAGAGAGAGAGGAAGGGAAGCAGGCTCCCCACCAAGCAGAGAGCCCGATGATGTGATGATGCGGGGCTTGATCCCAGGACCCTGGGATCATGACCTGAGCCGGAGGCAGAGGCTTTAACCCACTGAGCCACCCAGGTGCCCCAAAGCTGTCTATCTTTAACGGTCCCATATTCAAATACAACCTTCTGGGGGCCTGGGGGTGGGGGGATTAGACCTTAAGCCTTCCAGTGGCATCTTGATGGTCACTGAGTGAAGCGGGGGTTGGTCAGAACTTGACCCCCAGGGAACAGCCAAGGACCCCACTCTGATGTGCCTCACCGTTTTGCTGGGGGCTGGCTTGAACCTGCTCACTTTCTCTTGTCAAATCAACTCACTCTGCTCTGGCCTGCCTTCCTCCTTGATGACACCTGGACCTGTAGTTCTGGGAGCCACTTGGAGCTTTTATTCTGGGAGATTCTGTCTTCCTTTAATACACTTAAAGCCCGGCGTTGACACAGTTGGCAAGGGAAAGAGAAAAAGAGTGCTGGCTTTGGCCTCCCAGGACCCCCTTCCCTGTAGGTCTTGCTCATTTTGCCAATACTTCCCTGCTGGTTTCACTGTTGGGATTGACAAGGGAAGGTAGCCGAGTCTGGTTTGGAAGATAAGGCTTGCTTTCCAGAGTCTGGGGGCCCAGCCCCATCCCAGCTCCGCACCCGCACCGTGGACTCCAGCTTGGCTCCGCTCTCAGTCGAGCTTGCAGCAGGACCCTTGAGCCTCAAAGCCTAGACCCCCCCCACCCCTCCACCCCCCCGCCCCAGCCAGGCTCAGGGAGGAAGTGGCGCCTTTTCACCTTGCCTTTTTCTCTGACTTGCACTTTCCCTGCATGATTAACACTTGGAATGCCCACACCCTTTTCAGTCGGACTGTTAAAACCTGTGGTTGAAATGTCTGCGTGTGTCATGGTAACCCCAGCACTTGTGCGGAAGATGAACACAGACCACGGGCCAGGTCGTCTCATTACGCTACTGCCAAGTGATAAATAGTCTTGGTTTGTCCTTTAGGTTTATGCTCTGCCTAAACTTAAGGCCAGTAAGTTCTTTCTGCAAAGATTTCCCCAGGGGATTTTTTCCCTCCATTTACCCAAGATTTCACTCATTTCATCAGTATTTACTGCATATAGATAAAGTACACCTCTGTCTCTTCCCCTCTGCCTCTGGTTTCTTGCCAGCGTTTGATACAGCAGCCCAAAGAACACCCAAATCACTAATGAGGTAAAGAATTCTTTGCTCTCTGTGACTTTTAGACTCTGTGTGACTTTTCTCTGTGGGAAATACTGCCCGTTTTCCACGTTGGCCTGGTCCAGTCACCCCTGTGTGTGGCGCGTCATGGGTAAGAAATGATAAGCAGTTAGTGTAACAAGGAAAGCCCCACGTTTAAGCATATGGTCGAGTTTAATGCTTTATGGAGGAGAATTAAGGACCGAAGTGGGTAGAAGTTAGAGTTTGTCATTGTGGTGGCGCTGAGGTACTAATGGGGGTAAATCCTGATGCAGAGGCCTCTTCATCATTGACCCCAATGGCGTCATCAAGCATTTGAGTGTCAACGATCTCCCCGTGGGCCGAAGTGTGGAAGAGACCCTCCGCCTGGTGAAGGCATTCCAGTTTGTGGAAACCCATGGAGAAGTCTGCCCAGCAAACTGGACCCCGGATTCTCCTACGGTAGGTTTCCTTTCCAAAAGCAGTGAGACCCCAGCACAGGGTCCCAGGCCCTCACTGCCTTCAGGGCTGCTGGCCTAGAGCACCTATTAAAGGAGCCCATCCTTGGAGCAAGGGTGCAGACGGGGCGCAGGTGGGTGAGGCTGCCGAGGGGCAGGGGTTGGGGCGGGACCAGGAATCAGGCTCTTGATGTAACCTTCATCCATCTTTTAAAGGAAACGGACCACGCTTTAAAAAGTTAAAGAACTTTGGATCAAAAACTGCGAGCTTTCAACTCACTTTTAAGACTGTTACCTTGAAGTCAGCTCCCTAATTAAATGTTTTTGCATTTTCAGATCAAGCCACATCCAACTGCTTCCAAAGAATACTTTGAGAAGGTGAATCAGTAGATCATCCCGTGTGAACCCACCTCTTCTCACGTCAGGAGAGAGCCACAGCTGGAACTCACTTTGAGCATTTCAGAGATGATTATTTATAGAAGACAAAACACCAATTATGCTTGTACTCATAAGTAATACTCTAAATGTTCTGTTTTTGTAACATTGGCAGAGGCTTTTAAATGTCCTCACACACATAAAGCGTCCTTTATTGGTAACCTCTCGATGGCTGACTAGTTTATAGGATGCTGGTTCACCTGTTCCTTGGATTGTGTCTTCAGTGGAAAGAGGAAACATTCTTTGTTGGTCTTACTTGAACCTTTATATACACCAGAATAGTACAACATACACCGAAGCTTCTGATCAAGGGTCCTGAAATTTCATCTTGAATTTCTTTGTACCAAACTGAATTTTCTTTTCAGGTGACAAAGATCATACATAGTTTCAAGGTATTAACATCAGTGGTCTAATTTAACTCTTGCAATGGATGTATGTGTACTTGAGACAAATGTGAATCATGGTTTTTAAAAAACACTCTGGGGGGGTGCCTGGGTGGCTCAGTGGGTTAAAGCTTCTGCCTTGGGATCCCACCATCCCACGGTCCTGGGATCAAGCTCCGCGGGAGCCTGCTTCCCTCTGTCTCTGACTGCCTCTCAGCCTACTTGTGGTCTCTGTCAAATAAATAAATAAATCTTTAAAACAAAAAAACAAAAACACTCTGGCAAAGTGACTTCAGTGATCGTGCATGTCTCTCCTTCCTGAGATTAAAATAGTTCCGTATTTGTTAGCTGCATAGCGTCTACATACAATTCTAGATATTGATTGTGTGTAATTATAAAGGCTATTTATCAAATTGTATTTTGAAATCATTGTAATTCTTTTCTGAAATGCTTAATGTAAAGTACATAATAAACATTTTAAAATATTTGCATGTATAATATCATTAATTGTTGGCTCAGCTTGTATTACAGGGCTCTAGTTTTCCTTCTGACTTTATCAGCCAGCATTTTTGGAGCATTGAACTCAGGGCCCACAAAAACGAGTAAGACACTGGCTCTACAACCAAAGAACTCAGGTTCCGGCAAGAGAGAGACAGAAGCATTTAATCGTTACTTCAGTAAATCCCGAGTGCCTGCCACACGCCCCATGCTGTTTTGGAGGCACTAGGGTGAACAAGGAAAGACAACCCCCTTCCTTCATGCAGTTCCATTCTAGAGGGGGAAACCCAGTAAATATTATAAAAATACATAGAATGTCTGGAAGGGAAACAAACTGGAGCAAGGGCTAAAGCAGAGACGAACAAGCTACCGACTTTGGATTCTCTTCTAAGATGGGAAGTGTAAGGAAGGTTTCGACAAGAGTCACATCAACTTGTTCTAGGAGGATCACTGTGGCTCCTTTGTTAAGACTAGACCATGAGGGTCCTGAGAAGAGTGGAAGGGCTGGATCTGTGACATGCTTGAGGGTAGAGCCAACAGAATAATACAGGTATGCTAAACACTGGCACACGGGAGGCATTCCTGGGGCGGAAGAGGAACACCGAGAAGGGGCACCTTACCCAGCTATGGGCATAGGGGAGAACTTCCTGGGAAAGGAGATGAACTCTGGAGGCTACAGAAAAGTGAGCCAGGTGAACTGAGCAAAAGAAGCCGTCAAGTTACGTTGGCCTGAAGAAAACCATGAGCTGGTTTCATGTCCCTGGAGGGGAAGGCAAGGCAAGGGACGAAGAGGCCAGCTGAGTATCAAAGGTCCAAACAACATTTTCAGTGGACCCATTGTCATATCAGGACTCACATGTTTTATCTCATTGAACCTCAACAAAACCTTAAAATAGGTATAATTATTGTCCTCATTTTACAAATGAGTAAATAGACCCACTGATACTGACTTGACCAGGACCATCCAACTAAGTAATGGATGGTACTGGGTCCTCAACCCAAGACTCAAGAAGACCCCTGAACTCCTTAAACATCCAGGAACATGCATTCAACAAACACAACCCCCACCCACCCTAGCACAGGGCCCGTGGGCTAGGTGAGGCAGCCGCAGGAGGAAGGCACGTGCGTCTTTTCTCTACAACCAGCCCCTACTTGAGCTGGTACGCAAAGGAAGGAACTGATCTGCCCCAGACAGCACTTTGCACTGTGTGAGGTGCCCCCATCACAGGCCAAGGCAGGGACCCTCACTTTGAAGGGAACTGGACCTTGTTTAATTCTCTGGTTACTTTTTAAATTATTATTATTATTATTTTTTTTTTTTTTTAAGATTTACTCATTTATTTTCCAGCACAACCGGGAGGGTCAGAGGGAAGAGGGAGAGAATCCGAGCAGACTCCACACTGAGCGATAGCCAGGGGCAGGGCTTGATCCTTCCACCCTGAGATCACGACCTGAGCCAAACCAAGAGCAGGAGGCTCAACCCACTGCACAATCCAGGTACCTCTAAGTTCTCAACTTTTTAAAATAAGAGCAACCACATTTTCAAATTTCACCGTGAAAATGAAGTAGCCAGCCCTGACTATCCCCAGTGCCCTCTACTCCGGACGTGGAGGGCAACTGAAGATTTTCCACCATAATGTACAAAAGGGTGGCGCACCTGTCATCTGGGTCAGATGCAGGTTCTCAGTAGGTCCTGTGATACGAGGATTCCCGTAGGTGACCCCCCCCCATCCCCACCCCAGGCTGGAAGCGGCCCAGCTACCCTAACGGGAGTTACGGTTGGTTAGACTTGGTGGGTGCGAAGATGGGCGCGAAGGTGGGCAGGCTCACGGGGACCGGAGCGGGGGTGGAGGCGTGGGATCTGGGGCGCTGGAGCGCCGGCGCGCGGTGACAGCGGGAGTTCGGAGACCCGGCAGCGGGCACACCAGGCGGCCGAGGGCAGGGCGCAGGCACGCGGCGACACCGAGCAGAGGGCGCGCCAGGAAGCCGGCAGCGGGGAGGGGGACGCGCGCGCGCGCCCGGGGCGGGGCACGTTGCCCGACTCCTCCTCCGCGCCTGGCCCGGCGGCCGCGGCCTCTCCAGCTGCCACACGGGTCCCAGGAAGCGGAGCAGTAGGAGGAGGAAGCGCGGGGACCGAGCGGCTCGCTGGGTGCGGCGGCGCGGCTCCCTCATGGAGCCCAACGTGCGCTTCTGGATCACCGAACGTCACGTACGGCCCGGGCCCGGCGCGGCTGGGGGCGGGGTGGCCCTGGGCCCCGTGAAGTCGCCGCGAGGAGTCGCCGGCTGGCCCGGGTGACCTTGGGCAGGCCACGTGGTCGCACCACCCGCCTTCCCACCTCAGACCCGGGGAGGGGACGAAGGGGAAACCCATGAGTGCGGGATGCGGAGAGCCAGGGCTGTTACCGCGTGTCACCTCCGCCCCAGGCCTGGCTAGCGAGGGTCGCCACTAGGTCGTCCTGCCCTGGGGAGTCAGCTCCCCCGTCCCCCGCAGGTGTGTGTCCTCTGCTGCCTGAGCTGCTCCTGAGCATCAGGTTGGAGAGGAACAGGTGCTCTCAGGAGCCCCCAGCCTCCCAAGCCGGTAGGTTCGACCACTCAAATGACGCGGTGGTAGTGGGCTGCCGCCAAGGACAGGAAGTCGCTCCGGCCCCGCCTCTAGGCGGTGACTGGGCGGCGCTGCCCAATGGAAATGTGATGCGAGCCGTATAGGTCATTTAAAATTTTCTAGTAACCACGTTCAAAGGGGTAAAAAGGAACAGCTGAAATTAACTTTAATAATATATTGTATTTAGCCCAACAAATATAAGATATTAACATTTCAACACGTAATCGATATAAAAATTATTAGTGAGGTATTTACATGCTTTTTTTTTTTTTCCCCTAGAAAGTCTTTGAAATCTGGGTATATTTTACACATACAGCATACTTCATTTTGGCCTGGCCACATTTCAAGGGCTCCATAGCCACATGAGGCTAACTGGACAGTATAATTCTAGGGTGTTCTCCTTCAGCCTTACCTAAAGTAGGGCCCAGACAGGTTTTCTTAGGTGGGGAAGTTGAAAGGGACAGGGAGCTCAAGCTTTCCTGGCAGAGCCAGGACTCAAAGTTGTGTGGGGGGGTACCCTTGGGAGCAAATCATGCCTCCAGGTGTGATCAAGCAGCCTTTACTAAGGCCTTGCTGGGGGTGTCCTGTTCTTTATGACTCAAGTTAAGCCTTATAACAAGGATAAGAGGGTAAAGAAACAAACTCTGAGATCCTTCTAGGTAGTTGGTTCAAGGTCATTTGTGGGATGCGGACTAGGCCCACTTGACTCCAAAATCTGGGCTTTTAACCTTCAAGAGTAATTTGATATTGGAGTCGTTAAGAGCACAAGCTAATGAGTCCTTTCCTAGCTGGGTTTCCATGGGTATGTTCTTGAGCTTTTCTATGCCTCTTTCCTCACCTTTAAGATCCTGGGGATGTCCTGAAGATTCCTGGAGGTGCTTCCATTAAAAGGCCCTGTAAGGGTCTCAAAAATAATGCTTATTATTATTATTACCATATTGTCTCTTTTTCTGCCACCATTAACCTCTCTGGTGCTTTTCTCCCTCTTAAGTCTTTCATTCAGAGATTTCTTCAGTGGACAGAATTGTTGGATCCTACAAATTTGGTCGTTTCAATTGTAAGTACTTCCTTGTTTTCTGAGATAAGACATTTTACATTTTATTCTGAAATGTGAAGACTGCATCCCTTTGAAAGCAATTGAAACAGAATCCATATATATTATGTTTTGTTCCTTCCAAATGAGCTCATTAGATTGGAAGGTTGATAAACAAAAGCAGACCAGTAACACCAAGGTTGGTGTTGCTGCTTCAGAAGGGATCAAAACAAGTCCCTGGTAACGGAAGACAGATGGACAAAGGTGGCCACCGGACAAAGGTGGCCACCGACCTAGACCTAGGGTGCTACGGGAGGGGTGCGGCAGGAAACTCGGGGAGGGTGTTGAGGGAAAGCTGGAAGGAGGAGGCAGGCAGGAAAGGCCAGACAGAGGGGACTATAAGCAAAGCCCATGGGAGAGAGCAGGTGGTCCAGTCAGTGGTGCTTTTAATGTGGGGGAGCAGACAGGCCCGCAAGGGCTTCATATGGTCCTTCATATGGGAGGGGTTGTATTTGGCCTACAGGGCCAAGGTGAGGATTGTGTTCCAGAGGGTCTCTTTGGTCACCACGTGGCGAGTAATCAGAGGGGACCAGACGGTAGGTAGGGAGATCTTCTCAGGGGATGGCTCGCCTGTCCAAGCGGAGACAAGGGTTTGCACCAGGTGTGGCCGAGGGCTCAAGAGGAGGAGATAGTGTATCCCCAGCAGCAGTCCTTCAGGGCCAGACCCACAGGGACACTCCCATCCTTGTTTGCAAGATCTTTCACGCAGCCTTGTTTGGAATAGAGAAAAACAACCTGAATTCCCATCAGCAGGGAAATAGAGAAACATAACGTGGTATACAGTGGAACACTAATAAAAGTTAAAAGTGATGATCTAGTTATTAATGTATATATTAAGTGGAAACAGTATACATGATGCTAAAGGGAAAACATGTCTACAGTGTTTAATGGAAAAAGCAGGATGCGTAAAGGACAATATTTATGCAAATTACAATATAAAGACCCAACACTACTACTTTGTTTACAGATACATGTATTTGTATATATATAAGTATAAAAAAGTGGACTCGGATTAATACCTTGAACTCATAATAGTGGTTATTTCTGATAGAATGGGGAGACACAAAACTGGGGGTGATGGCTTTTGGGGGGAAAAAAAGAAAAAATTGGAAGCAGATAAGACTGAATGTTTACCATTGTTAATTCTGGATAAGGGGATTATGAGTGTGTACTCATTTCATTGTCTTTTCTGTATTTAGTTCTTTTTTCTCAAATTAAGAAAAAATGAAGAGAGGAAGTAAGCCTGAATGGACCAGATGTGGGAAGAAGAGAGAGGAGGGACTTCCAGGTTCCTAACTTACAAAGCCAGGCGGATGGGGGTAGCACTCAAGGAGATAGCTGTCCTAAGCTGTCTAGGGGCAGGGGGAGGTGGCAGCCACCAGTGGGTCAAGCTGCTGGACCTCTAATTCTGGGTGACACACAGCACTGTCCTCATGGAAACTATCAGGGAGTAGAGAGCCTTGGCCACGTGTTGCATTGAAATCAGGTGTAAATGAGCGTGGGATTCCTAAATCATTTGGACAGATCTAAATCATGGTATCATTGCTTGATTTCTTTCTATCTGATTATAGGAAAAAATAGAGAAATCAAGGCAACTATTGTTAACAAATGAAGATGCAGCCATCCGGGACTTGGAGAACCAAAGGGTATGTCTCCTGTGCTGGGTTCAAGATTGGATGTGGTTGCCTTCAGGAGATCTCTGCTTGCATGGTCTGAAATCAGGTGGAGTTTTGTCATTACTAAACACCACCCAAGGGATCTGCTTTTCAAAACTTGGTTAGTGTTTTTAGATGTAATTAGAATTCTTTTTCATTAACCAGATTACTAGTAGGAGAAACTAGTATTAAGGAGAAAAAAAACTCCTAGGGTTCTTCTGTGCTCAGATATTAGTGGGGATTCTCTGTGGCTGACCCCTACAGCCCCATGACAAACTCCAGAATGCAGACAGGCCTCTGAAGTCAGAATCTATTTCCCCTGAGAGGCAATGTTCCAGATCAGGGTTACACTCCTGCCCCAAGACGTAAACCAGTATTTGTTGTCTATCTTGCCGTGGATGGGGCTTTCCAGAGGCCACAAACATCACTCCCGTCAAGCAGCCTGTGGAAGCACACAAGTGTCACTTGCAAACGGCCTGCTCTTTTCTGAGCCAGGGGTAGGCTGGATTCAGGGACTCCCTTGAGGGCTAAGTTAGGTGTTGGCCTTGAGCCCTCTCCAAGGTAAGAGACTGAGGATTTTGGGGGGCACTTGGGTGGCTCAGTTGCCTTCAGCTCAGTCTGCCTTCAGCTCAGGTCGTGGTCCCAGGGACCTGGGATCAAGTCCTGCATCGGGCTCCCTGCTCCTCGGGCGGCCTGCTTCTCCCTCTCCCTCTGCCTGCTGCTCCCCCTGGTTGTGCTCTCTCTCTCTGACAAATAAATAAAATCTTTTAAAAAAGAAAGAGAGAGACTGAGGACATTATAATGTTCTGGTTATTTTCTTTCTGTGGATCATCTTATTGCTTATTGTTAGTTCATTTGTTTGTTTGATTCATTTATTTTGATTTGTTCTAGCCGCGTGGCATTGAACAGCTCTGGCCTTCACTCTTAAAAAGGCAGAGTGGGGACACCTGGGTGGCTCAGTGGGTTAAAGCCTCTGCCTTCGGCTCAGGTCATGATCTCAGGGTCCTGGGATCGAGCAGGGAGCATGCTTGCCCCGCTCTCTCTGCCCATCTCTCTGCGTACTTATGATCTCTCTCTCTGTCAAATCAATAAATAAAATCTAAAAAAAAAAAAAAAAGGCAGTGTGAAGATGGCAGCAGAAATTAGACTGGAGTGGAGATGGGTTTTTTTCTCTTTTGCTGCCAATTTACCTTTAAAAGCTGTTGCTTATTTTTTCTCTTGTTAGATAAAAGACGCCTGGAAGAGAAGTCTTGTAAGTTTCAGCCCTTTCCTAATTTTTACCTCCGACAAAAACAAAGCCCAACATGAGTCTAAGCTTTGTGTTTACTTTTGTGAAGTCAACAGTGCATCCTGACAGCGGCAAACTGATCCCCGTTCCGTTTCGCCCTGCAGGTGAGCGGATTCTAATTTTCAGAAGTGGGTTGGGAAAACATGGTTTGTAACAGTTCAAAAAGTCTGCCTGCCTTATTATTATTATTATTTTATTATTATTATTTTCTAGAAGGATTTCTGACAGTGAGTCTGGAAATCACAGCTTAAAAAGGATGTTTGCATCAGAGTCTGGGGTTGATAGTGGAAAAGAGTAGGTTTGGGACCTGGAGCTGTGTCCAGTCCTTGGAAAGATCTGGGGCATTAGGGGTGAGGGTGTGGAACCCGCTTTGCTCTGTCATCTCCCAAGAAACACACAATCATTTCGTTGGTGGTTCCAGAACTTGTAACTCAAAAGTGTTTTGGGCTCTGTGTAGTATTCTCTCTCCTTGTATGTTAACTATCATGAGGGGAATAAAACCCATGATTGTACAGGGCCCCTTTAACTGTATAATTCTCTCTGTTATAAACAAGAAACTGGAAACAACATGAATATCCAACAATTCAGACTGTAGTTAAATAATCCATTAAAAAGACTGAGGTACCGGGGCGTTTTAACAGTGGGTTAAAGCCTCTGCCCTTGGCTCAGGTCATGATCTCAGGGTCCTGGGATCAAGCCCCACATGGGGCTCTCTGCTCAGCAGGGAGCCTGCTCTTTCCCCCCCCCCCCCCCGCCCCGCCTGCCTCTCTGCCTGCTTATGATCTCTCTCTCTCTCTGTCAAATAAATAAATAAAAAATCTTTAAAAAAAAAGAAAAGAAAAGAAAACGTTTAAAAAAAGACTGAGGTACCTCCTGTGTGCTAGTGTAGAAGAATGGGTCTCTAGGAACTAGTATTAAGGAGGAAAAAGGCAAAGTATAAAACAGCATATAGTAATCCTCTTTGTGTGAATAAGTTCTGTGGGCAGAAGAGAGCGCGCAAGTTTGCATCTGTCCTGATAGATGTTGTGAAGGAAAAACCCTTGCTCCTCCTCTCGATGCTTCCCTTTTTTTTTTTTTAAGCCTATCCATGTGAGTTGGCATTCTTTTAAGTAATCTCTACACCCAACATGGGGCTCAAACTCATGACCCCCGAGATGGAGAGTTGCACGTTCTACCACCTGAGCCCACCAGGCGCCCTTGAGGTTTCACTTCTGATACCCGATGTGCAGGCTTTTTCCACAGCCTTCAATTCTGCAGCACCCGCAGCATGTCCTACAGTTTTCACTCTTTTCACTCTGATCCTCTTGACCTGGAGGCAGCAGGAGACCCCACGAGTGAAGGGCTCAGTCCCACAAGACCACCCCCACTTCAGATGCCAACTGAAAGTCCAGATTCTCACCTGGACGTCTGAGCAACCCGCTGTAGGTTGGAGCTTCCCACACCTCCCTCCTTGGGTTTGAAATTGCTGGTATAGCTCGCGGAACTCGAGAAGATGGTTTCCTTACTAGGTTCTCCATTTATTAAGAAAAGGAACGGATGGAAGAGATGCGCAGGGCTTTGGGGGTGGGGCTGGGGAGGGCGGGGCTTCCACACCCTCTCCAGCTCCCCGCCCATGCTCAGCAAACCGGAAGTGCTGCCGCTGCAGGACGGGAGGCTTTGTTAGTACCGTGGACGAAATCCCAGGCCACTATGACTAGCCCTGCCTCCAGCCCCTTTTCCCTCCCTGGAGGTGGAGGCGGCAGGTGCGACTGAGAGATCCAACCCCCTTTTCCCCCCTCCCCACCCCTTCCCCTAGCAACCAGCCCCCTCCTCAGGGGCTTTCCAAACATCCCCTTATTAACATCAACTCAAGTGAGGTGGAAAGGGGCTGTTAGGGTAAAAAAGACACCCATTTCACCCTTTTTTTTTTCTTTAAGATTTTATTTATTTATTTGACAGAGAGAGAGAGAGATCACAAGGAGGCAGAGAGGCAGGCAGACAGAGGGGTGGGGGGGAAGCAGGCTCAATCCTAGGACCCTGAGATCATGACCTGAGCTGAAGGCAGAAGCTTAACCCACTGAGCCACCCAGGCGCCCTCCATTTCACGTTTTTATTGCTATTCTTGGGAAATTCCAAGGGTTTTAGGATCTCTGTGCTAGGAACAGGCATGAAGAGCAAATCCAGGTTTCTTCTCATAAATGACGGCATCACGAGTGTGCTCGGTTTGCCGTGAAGGATGAATAGGTTATCACCTCTTGCCTCCAGTGAGAAGGACTGCGAAGGCCGGAGGGGGCCTCCTTAGGTCTTTCTGGATGGTGCTGACTGAAATGCTTGCCTTACGCACATGGTTGTTATTAGGGAAAGTAACAGAATGAGTAAATAGACTGTCCTTTGGTGCCCATGCTTTCAGGGTGCTAGAGGACAGGTTCTCGGCTTGGGGGGTGCCCCTTTCTGGCCTCCTCTCTCGGCCTGGGCAGCGGTGGTCACTGACCCTCTTCTCTTCTTTGCCAGCTTTCCTACCTTTCACGGCGCCCATGGTGAGTCGGCTTGACACCCCAGGTGCAGGAGGACATCCCTCATCTCCTAACCTCAGTGGTTTGTGTCCTCCTGCTCTGGACCCCTGTCCCACCACAGCCTGGTAGATGGCTGTGGACCCCCGTCTCTGACCCTTGTCTGCTACTCACGTAACTTCACCCTGTCTGCACGCTTCCCTAGTCAGGCGCCCCAGCCTGTGCAAGGTCCCAGTGTCATAAGGTAATCCTTTCTTTGGATGCCTAGTGCACAGAGCACTACCGAGGAGATGGAGGACAGGCTCCCTGCCTCCAGCGCACGTTATCATCCGTTACCTTCTCTCCCTTGACCCTTAGCCCCCGTACTTACCCTCATTTGGGATCTGGAACTGCCTCCCCCAGCGAGGCTGTCCCACCTGGACTCTCACGAGGTGCTCTCACAAAGGGACTGCCTTCCTCTGTCACTTCTTCCACACCTGCCCTGTGGCTGTGTCCACTTGGGAGTGCGTACTCCCCAGCTACCCCGTCCAGTAGCATCGCACAGCTTGGAAGCTGGGACCACCATGAGACGCCCCCAGGTGTCCTCAGTGTCCTGTAGGTGTTCACTGAGCATTGCTCGCCACCGCCTGGCCGCCTCCTCATCCCAGCTCCTGGTGGGGGGGGGGGGGCTCAGTGCAACATCTTCCCTGCGAAGTTCTTTGCCCCCTGGCAAGCTCTCCCTCCCCCCAAACACTTAAACTCCGCTTTATTTTCTTAAAAGGTATTTTTCTCAATGCTGTCGGCAAAAAGTCTGAAGTCCCTGATTTTACCTCAGGTAAAAACCATTTCTATTTCATGATTCCTGCATTCTTCGGTGCTCAAATGATCGTAGCGTGTGATCTGTGTGTCTCTGTCTTTCTGCAGGTTTCCTTCTATACCTACACTACGACGTTCAACATGGTCAACGGGAATGCAAGTTATGTGAGTATCATGAGGCCCAGGAGATAGGCAATTCTGTGTCATTTCTTTTAGAGTTAGTTTGTTTGTTTTAATAATCTTCCCTGGGTAAAACCATGGTGTTTGCTGAATACTTACTTTTGTTTCTTCCTTAGAATCGTCGCCTATATGAGAGTCTGTTACTAGGGACAGGAGTGATTGCCTCTTCTTCCTTTTTTGGAGTGGGTATTTTAAAAATCTGTCAAATCTGTTTCATTCCTCAGATCAAAAGAAACTATTCTGAATTACAGATTTGTTTCAACTTAAACAATTTAGAAAGTATGGCTAAGGGGCTCCTGGGTGGCTCAGTTAAACGTCTGCCTTTGGCTCAGGTCATGATCCCGGGGTGCTGGGACCAGGTCCCACGTCAGGCTCCCTGCTCAGCTGGGTGTCTGCTTCTTCCTCTCCCTCTGCCCATTGCTCTCCCTGCTTGTGCACTCTCTCTTTCTCTGTCAAATAAATAAATAAAATCTTTTTAAAAAGAAAGGAAGAAGGAAAGTATGGCTAAGACAGAAGAAGGGAAGTGGTCACCTGTCATCCTGTCACCCCCTGAATAAGCATATGAGTATCTCAGGTTTCTAGGCATATACTCAGTACTCTTACCTTTTTAAAAAATTTACGTAAGCAAAAAAAATTTACTTAAGCTACATAAACATGATATACATGTTGTGTATTGCTTTGAATATCAGGATACTGTGATGGTTAAAAATATAAACATTAGAGTCAGATAAGCCTGGGCTGGCCTCAAGGCTCAAATTCTTAGCAGCTCAGAGACTCTGGACAAGTTACCTCCCTAAGCCTCCGTGTGTTCCTCTGATAATCAGGCGAACACCTCAGTGTTGCAAGAATTAGAAAATACATGGAGAGCACTTGCGGTGGCCCGCGCTGGGATAGGAGCTAGGTCGATGCCAGCTCTCTGCTACTGAGTGTGTTCAGCTGACTCTTTGGTCCTGTGCAATAATGGTTTTTCTCTCTTCTTTTTCTAGTTATTTCCTGTTTTGTTCCAGATGCGGGTGAATCACGTTTTGTTGAAAAGAGCCCTTCCCATCATCATTCTCAGTAAGCAGGAAGCATGTGATCTCCGTGCCCTCTGAGCCTTCCTACACCTTCAGGGACAGCCTGGTCCCTTGGCCACATGGTGATTGATGACAGCTGCATCTTGCAGCTTCCTGAGGCCTCCAGGCCCAAGTTGGGTCCTTGGTTTGAGAAGTGACACTTGCTCTGTAGCTGTGTTTTCCACTGTCAAAGGATGAACACACACCCGGGAACACAGATTCACCCTAAAGACAGGGCCAGCCCTCTGCGTGTTCAGTTTCACTTTGTCCTGCCAAAAACGTGTGGGTAGTAATGTCATTCCTCCATTTCCAGATGGGGAGGCTGAGGCAGGAGGGACTTTAAGGAACTGTCCTAGGGTCATACACGGAGGAGTGGGTGGCCTAGGGGACTCCAACCCAGTGGGCTGACTCCAGTGGAAGTGGCAGATATTAACCAATGGTTTGAAGTTTGCCAGCCCGCAGGTTCACTGACTCACACCCCAGATATGAGCTTGAAAATTGTAACGGTTTGAAGCGTTGGCAGAATGATCTCAATTGGGGAAACTGTTACAGAAACCTAGTCAGACCAGCTACAGCACAAAAGGGGGCCATATTTCAAGGACCCAGGGATTTGTCCTGGAATTCTGTCAGGGGGCTGGACTGGACCTGCAGGGGTGCCAGAGCCTGGCGCTGGGTCGTGGTCAGGACCCCAGAGTGGGAGGCCAGCGGTTCTGACCCTGCTCCAAAGCCCTGGGACAGAGCATAGTTGGCCAACTCCTGACCACTTGAGGGGTGGGGAAGCATGGCCATCAGAGAAAGATGCTTGACACCAGAAAGGATGTTCCTCCGTTGGAGCAAACTCACCCGCCATGGTGCATTTTCTTCTTCACACCCACAGCCCACGTTAGTGGAATGAATGTTGTTGCCACCCGAAGTCTGGAGCCCATTCGAGGCATTGAAGTCATGGACAAAGAAGGCAATGTCATGGGCTATTCCAGAAAAGCCGGGACAAAGGTAGGACGCCATGGATCCCTAGCTGGCTTGCCTTTTGGCTAGAGCATGGAGTTGTCTGTGTGAGAGCTGGGAACAAAGTCTTATCTCCCTTCAATCTTGCCTTATCCTTTTTCCCCGCATGTGGAGGGAGTGGTTTTATATTTTGCACCACGATGTTTAAAAGATGATGCGTTAGTCTGGGTTTCCAGAGAAACAGAACCAATAGGATATTGATTGATTGATTATAATTGGCTCACGCAATTGTAGGGCTTGTAGGCTAGTCAGGTGTCAGCCCCAGCGGCAGGGGCTAGAAACTCGCCAACTCCCGGTGGCTAGAAACACAGGAGCCTGTGCTGTCGTCTTCAGGCAGGTTTTCTTCTTTGGGGGAACCTTCTAGATTTTGCTCTCAAGGCTCTCCAGCTGATTAAATGAGGCCCAGCCACACTGTGGAAAGTAATCTTATTTAAAGTTAACGGACTGTAGATGTTAGCCACATCTACGCAGCGGCACGACAGCATGACTGACCGCCACCGATGGGCCCCCGCCAGACGCTGGGCCGCTCTCCGAGGGTGAGATCCTGTTCTTCCAGCTGAGTGTCCGGCCCTCGGGTTGCTCTGTGCTCGTGGAAGTCGGTGAACCCCCTCTCTGGGTTTAAGAGAAATGTTTCTTCTCCACCTCACAGCAGATTTTCTTATAGTCTTCATCTTGAAGGACCAGTTTGCTCTCAAAAAGTGGCCTGCAGCGCCTGGGTGGCTCAGTCAGTGAAGCGTCTGCCTAGGGCTCGAGTCATGATCCCAGGGCCCAGGGGTAGAGCCTTGCTCGAGTCGGGCTTCCTGCATGGCTGGGAGCCTGTTTCTCCCCTTCTCTCTCCCTCTGCCTCTCCCCCTGCTTGTGCATGTGCTCTCTCTCTCAAATAAATAAACAAAATCTTAAAAAAAAAGAAAATGGCCTAAAGAAATTCAATGCTCTGACCAGAATGCCTCCTACAGGCCTCAATTTTTAATAAGATTTATTATTAACTATTTTATTCTTTTGATCAATTCAACACAGTGGCTCCTGTGTACATTTAGCTCAGAGAAACTGGGATGGCCTAGGGTAGTCTCATTTTGGCTGTGGACTTTTTTAAAAATACCTTTCTAGCAGGTGAGGTTTTTTTTTTTTTTTTTTTTTTTTGGTCTCCATGAAGTGACGTTAGCTAAAGAATGGAATTTGAGGCAGTTGTTTGCAAATGGCATGAGGAACAGCACGGAACAGCTAGTGCAAAATGAAGGGAACAGCTTCTCATGGTGTCTGCGTCTAAGGGGCCCCCTGTCGGGACATCTCCTGCCCCCTGTGTTGGCAGAAGAGGAGGTCAGAAAAGATGGCTGTTCATTCAGTCAGTAAATACATCATTGCTCACCTCACAGAGCACATTCCTCTAAACCCTACCTGCAAGTCACAAAGCTGGATCATAAACCATGAGGTGTGTGCACCAGATTCCTGCCAGCCCATGCAGTGGCATGTCTGAAAATAGTGGCCACTTTCCTAAATGAATTACAGTAGAAACACAGTAATTACAGGTAACAAGGGGAGAAGTGGCTGCCAAAAATAAAAACCTTGCTTTTGAAATAAAGGTTTTGTGCCTAAGAGCCACCCCAGTGAGATGTTTTTATTGAGATATAATTTACATACAATAAAATTCATCCATTGTGAGAGTCTAGTTTGATGAATTTTAGTAAATGTAAGCAGTGATGCAGTTATCGCTGCAGTCCAAATTATGAACATACTCATCCTAAAAATTTCCCTCGTGCCCACTGAGTCACTCCCTTTTCCCAGCCCCAGAGAAACACTGATCTGCCCTATGTCTTCATACTTTTGACTCTGCAGAACTTTCATGTAAGTGGCTTGTACAAGTGTTTTTGGTGCCTGACTCTTCACTCTGGAGTACCGTGTACCCACCAACAATCTGTTGCTTTTTTTTTTGGCGAGCAGCCTCGCATGGATGGTGGTACCAACCGCATCTGCAGATCCCTTCCGCAGGCCGTGGGTGTCTGCACTGTGTCCAGTTTAGGGCTGCTCTCAGCGTGCGCGGGTCTTTATGTGGACGTCTGTGTTTCTCAGTGGCTCCCTTTACCTGCAGGGCATTAGAGCTGCTGTAAACTGTGCCCACAGCGGAGGAGAAGAGTGAGAGCACCTGTTTAATCTGCGACTTGTCCCTCTGCACCACACGCCACCAGGTGCTGCGCTAGGCTCACCTTGGCCACGCCCTTAGCTGCTCAGCCACGCCCTCAGCCGGCTCGGCCACGCCCTCAGCCGCAGGTGCTCAGCCTCCCAGGGGAGGCAGGCGACCTCACGCCCCACAAGCTGTGTGGGTGTCTAGCCCGGATATCTAGTCCATCTCTCCGGGAAGAATTTCATTTTCTGCATGGAAGGCCAATTTAGGATAAAAGGAAGATTTGATGCTCTGCCCCCCCCCTTTTTTTTTCCTGTTTTATGTCTATCTTCCTCTGAAGAACAGTCTGCAACTGTGCGTAAGCATAAGCATTCTTTCATCATTTCCCCGTCACCAGACGGCCTATGGTCTTTGGCTAAAATTTCAGAAATGACGCAACCAGCACTATCTGATTATAATAGGGCACCTTTGATCAGATTTCAGGAGCCAGTCCATGCTGTTTTCCCTGGGCTGGCCTTGGAAGCCACTCAGCTGCAAACTGTCCCAGGCCTCCCGGTGCCCCTCAGGACGGGTGTCCGGTTTGCACACAGGCGGACAGTCCCACTGACGTCGAAACACACCACCCTCAGCAGCCGCTTATCTCTTCCTGAAGTGGAGTGGTTTCATGTTATATTCCTGAAGGTTTATTTATTTTAAGGATTTTATGCATTTATTTGAGAGAGAGAGAGAGTAGGAGCAGTGCGGGTTGGGGTGGCAAAGGGAGTGGGAGAAGCAGACTCCTGGCTGAGGAGGGAGCTGGCTGCAGGGCTCAATCCCAGGGCCCAGAGATCATGACCTGAGCAGAAGACCGATGCTTAACCCAGTGATTGAAAGGTAAACATGTGGTAGTCCTCAGTGACAAACCCAGCCTTCCCAGCAAGGGTGTGATTTTTCTACAGGCTGGCTTTGCTTGTGCTTAGTGAGTATTGTATTGGGCAGTTGGAGACCGAAGCGGAGACCACAGTGGAGTCAGCGGGAAGTAAATACTCTTTTTTTTTTTTAAGATTTTATTTATTTGACAGAGATCACAAGTAGGCAGAGAGGCAGGCAGAGAGAGGAGGAAGCAGGCTCCCTGCCGAGCAGGGAGCCTGATGTGGGGTTCAATCCCAGGACCCTGAGATCATGACCTGAGCTGAAGGCAGAGGCTTTAACCCACTGAGCCACCCAGGCGCCCCAGGAAGTAAATCCTGGCACCTACCCCCGCCGTCCTCCAGCTCTGTACAGCGAGGGGCTGCCTCTGCTGCTCTTCATGTGCGGTATTTTCCTAAATGAGACAGGAGAGCCGCTCTTTGCTCATCTCTGTCTTGAGTTGCAGGATCCCTGGCAGTGGTCTCACTCCATGTGCTAAGGTGCTTCCTTTCCATTTCCGCTAGGCCGTTAAAGATACAGCGACATCCAGGATAGTACTGTTTGGGACCACCGCTTTCATCCCTGAAGTCTTCTCACACTTTTTTGTAAGGTAAGAGGCACACTCACCTCCCCAGGTAGGAATAAACATTCGACACTCAAAATCCTTACAAAATTCGTCAAACACTGAACCTGGTGGGAGGGACAGAAGAAGTTTGTTCAGTCATCTTCCCGCTAAACTGTCTTCATCACAGCTGATGGTTCCACAGCGTGGAAAGCAGATGTGCACGTTCCTTAACCCTGGTCTCTCACCCAGGCCCTCTCCTCTGTTAGCTTTGTGTTCCCCAGGCACGTCCCAGCACCTACTGAGGTGTGGCTCCTCGAGTCTTGAACGCCAAGCTGCGGTGATTCTCAGGTTTTCCCGGCTCCGATATGCTGGGAGGATTGCTGCAGCCTCTCTTCCCTCCACACGGCAAGCAGGTGTTAAGTTAGCCCGAGTGGCCCAGAGTCAGTGGACCATCATCTACTTGCTTCTTGCTTTTGAGAAGCAAGAAATGGCCTCTTCGGAGGAAGGCCTGGGGACCAGCCAGTGGGAGAAACCCAACACACAGTAACGTAGGCCAGAAGGCAAATGTGTTGGTTTAGATCCTGGCTGTGGGCAGGGGACCTGTGTAGCCTGTGGCCGCCGAGCAGGAGCTCTGGTCCTTGTCGTCTCCATGCTGTGAGCTCCCTCCGTCCTGCCACACACTGGCTGCTTCGTGTTGCCGAGGGATGTGACTGCCCACACCTCCCAGTTCATGTCCTCCAAGCATCCTGGTGAGGGATGAAAAACACAGCGGACCCCAGGGAAGGCAGAGAATGTCTTCCCCTCAGTTCCCAGACTCCCAGGGAAGGAGTCCGTTGGCCCAGATGGGGTCACCTGAACCAGTCCCCTTTGTCCAGCGTGGCGCGCTAGGAAGCCTTTCTCACGACCATGTGAGGAGCGCATTTTTGACAAGTAGGCACGCGCTGCTTGGAGCCAAGTGTTACTCTCCATGGCCCATTGGCTGGATGGCGGGAGAGACTTCTGCTGGCCCAGGCTCTTCCTGGACCCCTCTGGCTGGGTCAGAGCCAGGGTGCTGGTGGAAGTCGGGGCCCTCCAGTCTGTCCCTTAGACCCCAATCGTGGCACCAGCTACCTGGGGGGAGAGATGGCAGTCGTTTCCCAGTGGCCCCCACAGCCACGAAAGTATCCACGCTGGAGTGTCCTCGGCGCCCCTTCTGACTCAGCCCTTTCATCCTGCGTGAAGAAACCCCAGGCTCAGAAAGGGGAAGTGACTCACCCGACACCACCTGGTCTGTCTGTGCAGACCCCCACCAGACCCAGGACCCTGGGTCTCTGACTCCCGGGCTGGGGTTCTTCACCTCTTCCCGCACTGTCTCTCACGTCCTCAGAGGTCAGGGTCAGAATGTCCCAGCCATGTCAGCAGAGCCCAGCGTCTAGAATCTGGCCTCTTACTCTTGAGCTGTGTGATTTTGGACAAGTGACTTAACTGGTCAGTGGCCACGTCCTTGTTTGTGTGAAGGGGGGATGATGACACAAACCTCACAGGGTTGTGGGGGTTTCAAACAGGCAATGCCCGTGACATGCTTCACCATGGGCTTGACGCAAATCGAGCAGTCTGTCAGTGCTGCCTCTTTGTGGGTGAGTGGGAACCGAGGCATGGGCCACAGCTGCATGCGAGACGTTCCAAGCCTGGGGCCAGCCCCCCAAAAAGCCTTTAACCTTGTCTCTTACAGGACCCAGTTTTTCCGGCAGTATCCATGGTCATTGTGGACCTTCAAGCTGTCTTGTACTGTCTTAGTGATGGGACTGATGGTGCCACTTTCTTTTAGTCTATTCCCACAAATGGGACGGGTAAGTGCCCCCATTCGAATTTCTTTCTTAAAAAAAAAAAAAAAAATCAAAAAACAAACAAAAATACCCCAAAACCTTTTTTCTTCTCCTTGTCAGAAGAGTAAGATAAATAATTCTAAAAAATCTGCCAAGTGTAAAAAGTATAAAAATAACTTTATTTAATCCTGTCCCTCAGATCACTCGTGCAGTTTTGGATTCTGTTTTTCCTAGCGGTGTATCAGAAGCATTTTTCTGGGACACTTAAAACACCTTTGGGATCGTTTCCATAATCATAATATTCCATAGTGAAGTCCCATCCAGTGGGGCTTTCTGCAGTGACAGAAAGGTTTCATCTGTGTGCTCATACGACAGCCAGTAGCCACTGTGGCTCTGTGGCTGTTGAGCAGCTGCTGTGTGGCCGACGTGGCTGAGGAGCTGAATCTTTATTCTGATTTAATTTTAAGTTGGTCCCCACGTGCCACTAGTGGCTACTGGTTTAGCGCAGTTCTGTCGACTGGGATCTACTCTAATTTATGATGAGGCAGATGACCTGGTTTCAGAGTCCCAGCTCCTCCATGACCTTGGTCAATTTGCTGACAGTCTCTGAGACTTGGTTTCCCTTTCTGTTAAGGAGAATGGAAGAGAGTAGCATCTCTGAAAAGGGTTGTTGCTGCTGTTGCGGACATCGCTGATGTAATAGATGTTACTGATTTCTGGCATTTCTGAGCTGGAAATTTCAAATGCCTGTTTCTGTCACTGAAGTTAAAAATCCGTAATGGCTTCAAAAATATTTAAATTTCTGCAGCGAGCTTGTTCCAAACCCAAATTTTGTCATTTTAGGTTCACAGAATCATTAGTTCGGGCCATTGAGCCTCTAACAGAGGCACTTGAGGCTACCGTAGATGTCTGCTCTCCTCACTCTAAGGGTGCTAAGGGATGGGATGGGGTGGGCAGCTTCTCAGTAAAATAAAACGTTAGAGAGAATATTCTTACTCTTTTCAGGCCCATCTGTGAGAACACGGTTTGTCACAGTAAGATTGCAGTAACAGTGACCCTTTTGCGGATACTTACTTTGGATCGCATTGGTACTCAGAGAGAAGCAGGCAGCTGACCTGCAAGTTAGGTCATTGACAAAAGTCTTTCAGTCTTGGGGGAGTTCCTGCTGCTCTGCTTCCTCGATCTGGCTTCCCCCTGGGCTCTTGGATCCTGTCCACACACACAGAGGGCCTCCCCTGGTGGACCAGAAGCGAGGTGCCGGGGCCAGCTGTGAGTAAACGGGGCCTTGCCCTTGAGTAGCTATGAGAAAGCAATGGCGTGTGGCCACCAGAGGCTTTGATCTGGGGACCTGGGGAGAGAAGGAGCCACAGAGCCCAGGAATCCTGACCTGGCTGAAGTCCAAGGGAATGACGGGGTGCCTGGGTGGCTCAGTCATTAAGCGTCTGCCTTCGGCTTGGGTCATGATCCCCACATTGGACTCCCTGCTCAGTGGGAACCTGCTTCTCCTCCTCCCACTCCCCCTGCTTGTGTTCCCTCTCTTGCTGTGTCTCTGTCAAATAAATAATATCTTTTTTTTTTTAAAGATTTTTATTTATTTATTTGACAGAGAGAGACATGAGAGAGGGAACAGAAGCAGAGGGAGTGGGAGAGGGAGAAGCAGGCTTCCTGCTGAGCAGGGAGCCCAAAGCGGGGCTCAATCCCAGGACCCCAGGATCATGACCTGAACCGAAGGCAGACACTTAACGACTGAGCCACCCAGGAGCCCCAAATAAATAATATCTTAAAAAAAAAAAAAAGTCCGAGGGAAGAATCTTCTGCAGAGCTCCCTTCACTGGCGTGGGGGAGTCAGAGTCTAGAATCAACAAGTTTGTTGTTTGATAATTGGGTCTCTTTCTAGTTGTCTTGTACATGTCATCATAGGTCATGGGATTCGTTTTTCCGATGTTAGGAGTAACTCAGTTCCCTCCTCTGTGATAGCATTTTGGTGGTTCATGATTGCTTTCTGTGACTGGGGACCTTGCAGGTACAAGGTCACCCATCTTATGGAAAGGCACACAGATGAAACATTTCTGTCACTGCAGAAAGTCCCACTGGACGTGGCATCAACTATGGAATATTTTGAAGTACTGAAACCATCCCAGGTTTTTTTAAATGTTCCAGAAAAATGCTCCTGATACAGTGGCCCACCAGTGGTCAGAGCAGCCCTCTCCCCCTTTACCACCATCACTCTCCTGGGTCTCCTTGAGCCTGGCGGCCACTGGACTTCAAATGACAGGGCTGAATGGATGTGTTTGGGTCATTGGGCCAGCAAGGGAGAGACACCCCTGCACACAGGTAGCCGCAGATGCAGTGGGATGGCGGTTGGGGAGGGGGGACACAGACACGCACGGGGCGTGTGGGCACAACGGAGGCAGCGTCAACAGTCGGGCATTGGGGGCAGTGGCAGGGGATATGACTTCTGTTTATCCAGCACCTTCTGTGTCCTGGGGACTGTGCCAGGCAGTCTCTTGTCTTTAAGACAACTTTTCAGAGTAGTTTATTCCCATTTTACAGAAGAGCTTGGGGCACGGGAGAAGATCAGAGTCCCCTGTGGGTCGTGGGGCTATGGAGGGGTGGGCTAGCTGGCGAAGGACGTCACAGGCCCCCCACGGTAATAGAACTTCATATGGAGCCGATGACGGAGAGGTTTCAAGGGGGAATGGCTGAGTCGGGTTGTATGTTAGAAATACTGGATGCCACCCTGTCAGTGGGACCATCCTGGAGGCTGGGAGAACAGCTGGGGGGCTGGAGACATTTCCTGTCTGGAGGTGGTAGGGGTTCGGAGTAAGTCCGTGGTAGTCGATTAGAAGTAGTTGAATTGGACAAGTTAGAACCTGTGAGCATTCAGATTGGGGACGGGAGGGGAAGTGAAGAGAAAGGCAGCCAGGGGGGCACCTGGATGTGTGCGTCAGATGTGATGCCAGTAGCCGGGGGTGGGGGGAAGGAAGGGCTCTGTATTAACTAGCGTTACATTCGGTTGGAACTGAGATCCAGAATAACCGTGCCCTCAACGAAGCGGAGGTTTGTTCTCCCTCGCATAGTGTGGGTGTCTTGAGCCCACTGCGCAGGTGCACACACGTGTCTTTCCACATCAGCTTGATTCAGTCATAAAGCAAAGTTGATCACAATGATGAAGCAGGTTCAGGATTCCAAACTCACTGGCTTCTCACCATGTGATGAAACTTGGCTTCTTACATGGTGCACAGAGCAGGACAGAAGGCAAGCCACAGCGCACGAGTAACAGAAGGATGTAGGACGTGAACAAACCAAACTCCAGTGCAGTTGAGATGAGGCCCGGGTCCCGGCCAGGTCAGCTCCGGGCACTCGCGGCTTCTGATATTCAAGTGGGGAAGGATCTCGGTTCTGTTCGGAGATCAGTCTGGCAGAGCCTTTGGCGGCCAGTTGCCTTTTTTAAGTGGTCAGACATAGCGGGATCACGTTTGAAGAGTCTGACGGCTTGCTGCAAAAATTCTCCCCCTTTTAAAGAGATTTAAATGGGGGGGGGGTGCCTCGGTGGTTCGGTTGGTTAAGCATCTGAGCCATGAGATCAAGCCCAGCACTAGGAGTGGAACCTGCTTAAGATTCTTTCCCTCTGCCCCCGTCTGCCGCTCACATGCACTCACTCTCTTAGATAAAAGGCTGGCTGGCTGGCTTCCTTCGGTCTTGGACCCCTGCGGACCTCCTCTGCTTCTGCTTGTTACCAGTTCTGGGGTTTCGGCTGATGCTGGTTCCATCAATACTTCGCAGCTGGTGCGTTTAGCCTTGTACCTTTAACTGCTCGCATCATTGCTTGATGCTGGCTCCTGCTTGACATGAGAGACTCCATGCTGCTCTCTACACTGAGGCAGCCAGCCCGGTAAGGCAGCTCTGGGTCAGAGTCCACAGGGGTCTAATTCCTTCCAGCTCTGCAGCCACCATCCCTAGGGTTAGGGCCCATCTTCAAGGTGCAAGATGGCACCTTCCTCATTCCACGTGGCCAGGTGGCACTTCCACCTCTGGTGCATTGGCCTAGTCATGTGGCCAAGCCGTACTGCAAGGGAAGCTGGGAACTGAGGTCTTCTGGACCTATTTCAAATTCTGCTGCTACAGAAAAGAGCAGGTGTGGCAGATGGCAGTCTGCTACAGGCTTTCGCAGAAAGGGTAACATGTGACATGTGGAAGTAACGCTTACCTGCTAGAAAGTAAACATGACCCAAAGGCTGTGGGGAGATTAGGGAAAGAAGAGAATTGCCAGCCAAGCCAGGAAAGCTACATGGAAGAGGTAGGCTGTGGACGTGGATGGATTTGAACAGGCAGAGACTGGGGAGGGAGGGCATTCCAAGTGGGGGTATAGGAGAGCTGAGGAGTCCACTGTAGCTGGGCACATGTGGCTGACGGGCCAGAGGCTTGGGGCCAGATGGCAGGTTCTGCATGGCCAGGCTGAGGAAGCAGCCTCTCCTCTGAAGGCAGCAGGTGGGTCATGCAAGGCTCTCAGGGGCCAGAGTTGAGGTGAGAAATGGAGTCTGTTGGGTCATGGACGTTGGGTAAGGTGTGTGCTATGGTGAGTGCTGTGAAGTGTAAACCTGATGATTCACAGACCTGTACCCCTGGGGCGAATAATACATTATATGTTAATAAAAAAATTAAAAAATTTAAAAAAAAGAAGACTGGCAGAGTGTTAATAAACCAGAGTGATGCATATATGAGGGTTCACTATATTCTTTCTGCATTTGTTGTAGTTACAGTTCTCCATAATGAAGTGTTTCAGAAGTTATGTGTTTTTGCTCTCTACTGGACATCACTGAAAAAAGTGGGACTGGGAAACAGATGCTTTCTGAAAATTTTTTTTTAACTTCTAAGGCAAGGAAAGTTCTTCACATAAAATATAAAGAATTTGACTTTGTTTTTCAGATACAGTGCAGTGAGCTCGAAAAGGAAATTCAGTCTGTGACAGAAGAAACAGAACTCTTCTATAACAGAGGGGTATAAGGATGCGTTTTCAGTGAATTTGTTTGGTTCCTGCTTGAACACCTTCCTCACTGCTTGAGGTATCCGTTTGGAGGACACTGCGGGAGGGCTGGAACCGAGGTATCCGCACCCACACGTTGCCTTACACTTACACAGGCCACGACCGTTTCAAGGCTGGTGCCTGGGCTTTCAAGCCTGGATGGAAGAAGAGAAAGGAGAGGCTGTCCTGTCTGACCCCCAGCACGGGGCGGCAGAAGGAACGGCTGATGGAGGAGCCCGTTTTCTGGGTGTTCATCAGCCTCTGAAGGATACTGTGAAATGACTAATAAACTTATCGAAAGTTGAGTTGTTGAAAAAATAAAGTAGGAGGGTCCACCAGGCCCAGGGCCCAGGCATTCATTCCACTGATGGCCCATCTCACGGTAAACAGGAACTTCTGGTGAGCACTGAAGGCCTCCGAGCCCCAAAGCCACCCCGTCTCCCTCCTCAGAGTCCTGCCATTTTGGACTGCTTAGAATCTTTGCCCTCAGCTGTCCACCACCTCCTCTCTCCTCGCTGGAGAATGACCCTGCCTCCTCCTTCACAGTGAAAACCAGGACTGCTGGCCGGCAACAGAACCTCCTGGCACCAAATCTGCAGGCCTCTTGCCACCCACACCCGGCCTTCCCTCCTCCTCGCAAGGTCAGCTGGGCCCTGGCCCTGGGCTCTGGGCCCCTCCCGCCTCCTGATTTCCTCAGGGCCTCGCTCTCCAGCTCCTCCCTCCTTCCCAGTGGCATACGAACTACTTGAGTCACCAGCCTTATTAAAAAAGCAAACAACTTTCGAGAGCCAAACTTTGTCAAAGATGATCTTCCCTCACTGTTTCCACCCGCCTCACACTCTGCTAAAACTGCTCTTTCCTCCCAGCTCCACCCCAAGGCCCAAGCGCCACGCTGCTGGGTGCTCAGACACAGCCCTGGGCTTGCTCCTGGAGCCACAGGCCCAGGCCCATCCAGCCGTGCCAAGCGCTCCACCATCCAGATACCCACTTGAGACCACCTTTCCCGCCCAATCTCAGGAAATGGCACAGCCATGTAACACAGTATCGTCACCCTTACTCCTCCCCTCCCCTTCAAGCCCTTTCAGTAGCTGAGCCCAAAGGTGTCAGGTCTCTAGGCCCCATTCCTCTGAGGCCAGTGCTACAACCTACCCAGTCCAACAGCGTCCCCTGCTGGTATCACTCTCTTCTCTCCTCTGGCTCCTCCAATCAAGGCCCCAGCCTGCTCTGACAAATACTTGCCTAAAAGCCTTAGAGGGCTTCCCAGTGCATCACTTCAAGTCCAGATTCCTTAACAGGCAGGCGAGAGCCTTGACCTTACTCAACTCTTGCCACTCCTTTTCCTCACTCCTGACCAATACCCCGTTCCTCACATGGGCTATGGTCTTTCCTTCCTGGACCTTCGTATCAGCTGTTCGCTGCCAGGCTAACTCTTGCCTATGCATCAGGTCTGACTTGGACATCACTCCTTCCAGGAAGCCTTCCAGGATTCATAGTATTAATTCGTTGCCCCTTCAATGTGCTCCCATAGCACTCATACTGTATCTGGCACTTGCCACACCATGGCAGAACAGCCTGTTTGTTGTCCCTGAGCCCCAGTAAACTGTGCCTGGGGCAGGAAGTGTGTCCTGTGCATCAGGGAGGCCTCAGGATACAACACCATGCATGGCAGAGTAGGCACCCAAACACTGGCATACTGGAAAAATATTTCCAACATACCCTGCCCCAGATCATCAAGGACTCTATCTGTGACTTTCAGGCAGGGTTCCCTAGGCCAGAATGATGGTTGTCTTCAAACGTCGTTAAAAGGGTTTCACAACAGCCTAGAAGAACAAAAAATGTTCTACTGGGCGCCTGGGTGGCTCAGTCAATTAAGCGTCTGACTCTTCATCTCAGCTCAGGTCTTGATCTCAGGGTGGTGAGTTCAAGCCCTGCATTGGGCTCCATGCTGGGCGTGGAGCCTACTTTAAAAAAAAAAAAAGAAAAGAAAAGAAAAATTCTACCAGATGGCTCAGTATAGCCCTAGGTGTACACTAAACAAAATTAAAGAACAAAACATACAAAGGCCCCAGGTGGAGGCTTAGCCACTATCAGATGACAGAGCAGAAATGCTAGGGCATCTTTTCAGAGGAGAAGACACTGAAGTGCCAGGCCTAGGGAGTGGGGGAGGGAGAAGGGTGAGGGCAGGGAGGGGAGGTGGGGGGAATGATGAGCCAGGGGTGGAAGAAGGGAGCCCAAACCCCTTGACTTTCAAACACATCTTGTAAGAACTCCCCAGCACATCTGCGTTGACCAAAGGGTTTTATCTTTCGTTCAAAGTGGGGGGAATTACAGAAAGAGGGCACAATTCTTCAGCTCCCTAAAACTGTGTTACAGAGTATCAAAATATTTCCATTTTATTTCTCCATCATAGATCTGTAATTTTAACAACGTTGATCATTAGCTGATAGAGTAATACAAAAAATGAGGGAGATAAAGATGTTCATATTTGTTTTCATAAAGTGCAGATTTAATTTTCAATTGTTTGCCTTAGAAACATCACCTCATTCCACATCCTCCCCTACCCCCACCCAAGGAGGGAGGGGAAAAGGCTATTTTTTGTATTTTTACTCAAGAAATGACTAACACAAAGAATAAAAGAAAGATAAAGACAAGATTTTTTTTTTTGCAAACATTTCTCTTGGTAAGATTTCTAAGGACAACAGTAGTGAGTGTAAAATAACCTTTCATAACTAATTTGAATACACAGAATAAAACAACAAATACAGAACTTGAACCTCCATGCTTATTTTGCAACTTTTAAGTTTCCAATTATGAAAAAGATAAATAACCGGAACAAGAACGGTTACCTTCGTATGTGGCCAAATTACTTTTCCTGAAGTCTGAAGACACTCTCTGGTCTTGGCCTTGGCAATTATGGGAAGTTGCTGTTTCATTCATACAGACCTTTACATCCAAAAATGGGCTTCTTATTTTACTCTACCATATAATCACTGGCATCTTTTTAAAAGAACATTGCTAGCAACAGGGTTAATTAAAGAGTACTAGTGGCTTCAGTTTGCCAAATGCTTACCTCTGTGACAGTATAAATATGGATTATTAAAGTTGTCTACTCAAGTATAAAATCTATGCAAAATCCTCATAATATAGGCAAAAATGTTCAAAGGCCAAGAGAAAAAAAATTCTTTTCTTTTACAAGAAAGTGCACTGCAGGATCTTTTCTGAATGATCTTCTAGACTGTTCTGCAGAAAACTTAGTTTGGCTCAGAAAGTAGAGTTCCTCATGAGGAATAAAAGTTCTTCCTAGAAGAATATGAAGCAAAATTTCGGCAGCTTTCTGAAAATAAACTGTTAGTTGGTGGCTATGCAGTGAGACAACTGGAACTTATCATAACGAAGACTTTTGGGTTTGCTGTGATTTGCACAAGAACTTGGCAGAGCTTTTTCTCTCTTCCTCCAGGATGCCACGCCATTGCTAACATTATACAAAGTAGTTACAGCACTTTGTCCAACACTGAGCCGAGGCAGGAAATCAATCAGAAGAAAATCGGAAGGGTTTTCATACGTGTTTCAGGACTCTTTCAGGTCAAATCGCAATACTTCCAAATAAACCGTTAAAAATAGAACATTTTGTTATTTTCAGTATTTTACATAGTTAGTGGATAATCGTGGTGCTAGTGATCATTCTTCCGTGATACGTCGTCACAATCAGATTTTCAGCATCTGCTCCGCTGCTGCGAGATGGTAAAGGAAGTTTTCTGTTGCTGGTGGAAATCGTCTTTGCTTTAGGGCCTCAAAGTTGAGGACTAGCTTTTCTCCATCACCAGAAACTTCTGAAAATGGTTCCAGGTTGGTGAAGATTTCTCTCGTTTTTAGGGAAATATCCTTCAATGGAACAGGAAAATATGAATCATTGTTGCATTCAAAGAGAATCCTTCCTGATATTTTTAAGTTTATCACACTATTTATAAGTTAGGAAAAATGAAACAAACTTAAAACAACTTAGGAAAACCAGTGTCCTGTTTTTGCCATTTTAGCCATTTTTAAGTGGATGATTCAGTGCCTTTAAGTACATTCACAGAGTTTTATCACTATTATCCATTTCCAGGACTTTTTCATCCTCCCAAACTGAAATTTTGTACCCATTAGACAATAACTCCCCATCCCATCTCCAACTCCTGGTAACCACCATTCTACTTTTTGCTTCGATGAATTTGCTTACTCTAGGTACCTCCTATAAGTGAAATCACACAGTATGTGTCCTTTTGTGTCTGGCTTCTCTCACTGAGCATGTTTTCAAAGTTCGTCCATGTTGTAGCACAGGTTAGAACTTCATGCCTTTTTAAGGCTGAATAGTCTTCCACTCCATGCATGAGTTTGTTATCCATTCATCCACGGATGGACATTTGGCCTATTTTTTACCTACTGGCTACTGTGAATAGTGCTGCTATGAACCTGATGTACAAGTACTTATCTGAGTCCGTTTCTGATTCTTTCTCACATAGATCCAACAGAACTGCTGGATCTACAGTAATCCTGTGTTTAACTTTTTGAGGAACCCTGCTCTTGTTTTTAGGACAAACGTCCTCTGGAAGTCCTCTGCTGCCTGGAGTGAGTGACCCAGCACCTGTCACGTGGGCTTTGTTCCTCCTTACTGACTGACAGCGCTTTGTATGGCTGAGGAGTCACCAGAGCTCACATTAAGTCATGTCTTTTTCTGGGTTTGTTGACATCATTCATTCATTCAAATATTTTCAAACCCCTACAATATGCGAGGCACTTTCCTCATACATTATACCGAGTCACCTGTGTATCACTTTGAGCCCATAAAAAACATACTAATTCAAAACTCATATTTACACAGTTAACCAACACTGTAAAGAGTCAATGTTTTGGGGGCGCCTGGGTGGCTCAGTTGGTTAAGCACCTGACTCTTGGTTCTGACTCAGGTCATGATCTCATAGGTCTTGAGATTGAGCTCCACATCAGGCTCCCCACTAAGCAGGGAGTCTGCCCCTCCCTCCACTCACTCACTCTCTCTCTCTCAAATAAATAAATCTTGAAAAAAAAAAAAAAAAAAAAGTTTTTACCCAAATGTTGACAGAGGGATGGATGGGCAACGATGATCCCCATGGAAGGAGAAGAGAGTCTCAGTGTTCAGGTCCTTAGGACAAGACCTGCCCACTCTTCCTGGCCAGAGCAGAATGGGCCACCAGCACCGAACAGAAAGAACAGTACTGCTGCTGGGTTCTTGTCAAAGTGGTGGCTCCTCTCATCCTGCCTCTTCAGAAAGCTGTCTAACCCCTTCTCTAACATTCTCTACCTTGAACTCTTGTTCTGTCACGGCGTTCATTCATCATGGCTCGCAGTGATCTGGCATTTACAGAATTTTCTATTCATCTACTCCAATAAATACAGGCCACAAAGGCAGGAGACTTTGCTCCCCACAGTATCCATCCCCCTTGCCTGATGCCCGACAAAGAGTCAGTGTTCAATACATATCTTCGGGGTAAATGAATGAATGAACGGAGAAAAGAGCCAGGTCCAACCAGGTGAGCAGGGCCTGCTTATCAGAGGAGCCCCCGGAGGTGGCACAGGTGCAGAGAGTGGGAGACAATCCTTCCAGGCCTCTGGCCCCCACAGGATGACACAAGGGTCCAGATGAGCCAAGATGTGGGAGAGGCCAGGCTGGGAGTATATCCCAAGGGAGGAGTGAGGAGCAGGCTGTGGTGCGGAGGAGGGGCTCCATCACCACACGGAGAGACTTAAAGACAATCTCTGACTATCCCAACCTGGCAAGGGGAGGGGGCGGGTCCACACGAACACCATGGTCAGCTTGACAAGTAGAGCCTGCAGGCAGGTAGCCCCCACCAGTGGCCAGCCCTGCAGGGTGCGATCCCAGAGTTTGCTCACTTTGGCAGGGATCTGATTATATGCTTTCTGATGTTCTGAACGCAATACATCAAAGCTAGATAAAGATGCTCTCTCTAAGAAGGGAGTTATGGTCAAGAAAAGCATGGGGCATATGGAAAGAGGTGCAGCTGTGAAGAATCTTAAGGACTATGTTAATAAGGAGTTTGGGCTTTTATTTGGGGTAATAGTAAGCTCATGAAACAGAGGAGCAAAACAAACAAACAAAAAGCTCTCTGGATTCCCCTGCTCACTTTCTGACCAATTTGCGCAGCAACCTTCTCTTTACAACGTGTTCCTACATGAAAATTCTGCTGGGGGCACAGAATGCACTGGCTGGCCCACAAAAGCATTCCAGACCACTGGGGAGTTACACTTCCCACTAGGAATGCTGGCCTTTAGCACCGGTCCCCTGTGTACATCTGTCCCCAGAGCCCGCTAAATCTTCGGCCAATGGCGCCCCTCACCCGCTCATCCTCACCAGGGCCATCCTGCAGACCCTCATTGGAGCATCTGCCCCCCTGGCCGCTCAGAGTCCCGGGCACTCCATGCAGCCTTGCCGCCCCCTGCCCAGCAACACGGCTTTGGGACTTTCAGTGTCGGAGCACTGACAACTTACCTGTATAACTTGGCTGTCTGATTTCTCAGGATCTTCTGCAGACTGAACAATGAGCTGGCCAATGTCTTTGTGCAGTTTGCCCATTGTCATAGCCTCTGGTGAGATCAAGCACATGTGTGACTATTTAGAAGTTTACATAATAAAAACCAAGCCGTCCACTTGAAAAGGTCAACAATCACCCAGAGGGAACTTTCAAAACAACCAAACGACAACCTCCCACATTTCCGTCTTATTAGTGAGCACAAGTGGGACGCTGTGCGACGAGGTGAGGCATAACCATGACTTATACTTCATGTTCAAAATAAAAACTTCTCTGTTTGTCACTCCAAGGACCAAACCCCATTCATGTAATGCTGGCTGGGATGGGCTCA